TAACATGGAGAAAATTGAGCAGGCTGTAAAAAAGTGGCAGAAGCCCAAAAGCTGCGAATGCAAAGTTGTGCATAGGAAAAAAGTCGGCTGTATACTTCAAGGAAGAAGGAATACAATGTTATAGGTCAATATGGATAGGATAGTTGAAGTGGCACAGGAATTATACAGACAGCTGTGCAGAAACCGAAACAACCAGGATGATAACGCAAGAAGCTATAAAAGACCAGATAAATTTGCCATTCTAACAGTAACGACAGGGAAATTAAAAAAAGATTCAAAAGGAATGCAAAGAGGCAAAGCCGCTGGTGAGGATAAGGTAACAACGCACCTGCTGAAAAGGGGTTTTTTTAACTTGTGCTAGAACAGCTGGCCACCTTGTAAATGAAGTGTCTCCTTATGAGAAGGGTACAAGAAGCTTGAAAGAACGCCGGTATCATCTTGATCCTTAAGAAAGGAGACGTCAAGGATTTCAGAAACTACAGGCCGATCAGCTTACCGTCCGTTCGTTACAAACTATTTACAAAAATTATAACTATTAAAATTAAGCCGACATTAGAGTTTTAAAATTAAGCCGACATTAGAGTTCAGCCAACAAAAGTACCAAGCGGGATTTCGTACAGGCTACTCCACAAAAAATTGCCCGCAGCTTCCCTCGGGGGAACACTGAGGAGGATGCGGAGCATATAATTGGTTAACGGGGTGTTAAAGTGCGACTTACTTGGGTCGATGGCTAAATTGGTTAACGTGGTTGTGAAATGGGGTGTTAAATTGCGACTTACTGGGGTCGATGGCTAAATTGGTTAACGTGGTTGTAGGAGGGGGTGTTAAATGAGTGAACACGTACACACGTATGCGAAAGGACGGCGCTGGTCGAAGGGACGTCGATCATTGTGTTTGTGGATTCGTTGCAATTCATCTCACCGCGACCTTGGACGCCGACGCACCGTACAAACCAACCGACGAGCGGCAACTGAGTGAGCGAGCGCCGACCTTGAGTATATATACAGCGCTATGGCGCATGCACTGTCAGCTGTTGAATGTTCTCGAAGGAGAAGCCCGCGCGCGGCACAGATGGCGACGGCGCGACGGCGCATGCGCTGTCAGCTGTCGAATGTTCTCGAAGGAGAAGCGCGCGCGGCACAGATGGTGGGCGACGGCGCGACGGCGCATGCGCGCGCGTCAGCTGTCGAATGTTCGAGAAGCGGTGCGGACGGCGCGGACGGCGCACTACAAGGCGAGTGTATAAGATGCTTCCGCATCTAATAGACCATATTCATACTATCAATCAGGTAATAGAGAAATCCGCGGAATACAACCAACCCCTATACATTGCTATCAAAGATTACGAGAAAGCATTCGATTCAGTCGAGACATCAGCAGTGATGTAGACACTACGGAGTCAGGGAATTTACAAATCCTACATAAACGTAATGGAAGAAATCTACAGTGGATCTAAAGCAACCATAGCTATTCATAAAAAAGCACAAAATCCCCTCCATAAGAGTCAAAGGCATGAAGACACGATCTCACCAATGCTAATCGCCGCATGTTTATGGGAGGTTTTCAAGGCTTTAGATTGGGGAAAGTTGGAGATAAGAATTAATAGAGAGCATCTTAGTAACCTGCGAAACGCTGATGAAATTTCCTTGATGACTAACTGCGGTGATAAACTACAGTTCCTGATTACTGAACTGGACACAGAAAGCAGAAGCATCGTTTGAAAATAATATGCAAGAAACTAAAGTAATTTGCAACAGTCTCGGCAGGAAACAGCGCTTTGCGACAGGTGGAGGGACGCCGGAAGTTGTAAGTGAATATGTGGCCTCAGGACAGGTACTAACCATAGAGCGAAATCATGTGAATGAAATAACTAGAATAATAACTATACATATGGGGTGGATATATGCGGCAAGCATTCTCAAATTATGAATGGTAATCTGCCAGTAACCCTCACGGCGAAAATATTGTCACGTGATCACAAAAACGACCACAACGTCTGTTCACAGGAGCAGCACTGGACGTCGAGCCGAACCGAACGTTAGAGCACGAGCACACCAACCGTCCTCTTCTTTCACACCATGGCACATACTCGCATTGGCATGGCTAAACCTCGTTCCATGCCTGTGGCAATATTTAACAGCTGCAGCTTGCCGGTACTTACCAACAGAGCAGAAACCTTGAGGCTTAGAAAGAGGGTTGGGCTCAGATTGAGGACAACGCAGCGAGCGATGGAAAAGAAAATGATAGGTGTACCGTTAGAGATAACAACAGATCTGAGTGGGTCAGGGAAACAAACCGTTGTTAAGAATAGCATGGTTGACATCAAGAAGAAATTTACATGGGCCGGGCACGTAGCACGCAGGTAAAATAACAGCTGGTCATTAAAGGGCCACTCACCAGGCCCCATACCGAATTGTAGTTAGAAAGGGGCAGTTCTTGGGTGTCCGATGAGGAACGTTTTGCCACAAAAATTTGTCGAATTGGTTCATTATGAGCGGAGAAAACAGGTTTTCTGAAGCGGCGCGAAACGAGGGTGAGAGGGGGCGAGCTCGAAACCCTTGCCGCTCCTCCACGTACCTTTCGCAAGCCAAATCTCTTGCCCACCCTCTCCAGCATCCGACCATGAGGTGACGTGCGCATGACATGCCAAAACAAGTCCAATGCCCGAGCACGCGAGCAGCGTTGCTTTGTTGACCAGCGTTATTTTGTGGTCTTCTGCCTGTTTCTGCGGGATGGTTTGGAAACGCTGGCTTAGAAGCGGTAGAGTAGATAAACACAATGAGTGTGCGAACGCGTAGGAGCGTTCCACGGTGGTCGTCTGCTCAATGCGCTGACCGCGGGGACACGAACGCATGCGAAACGCTGGCAATAGGTATGCTTTAAGTGAAATTTAACCTACTTACTCCTATCTGATATTATGAACGCTTTTGCAACCTAGCAATTTGGTTGTCATATACCTTTTCTTTCGTATTGACTTCACAAAAGGTCGGATCTCTGCCACAGTCAAAATTTTTTTGTTTAATTGAGGGCTTCACGCTGTAAAACCACAACTATGAGGCACCACACATTGGAGGGCTCCGGAAGTTTTGACCTCTGGTGCTCTTTCAGGTGCACTCACATCGCACAATACATGGACCTCTAGCAATTTTCTCCATCAAAATGCGACTATCGGGGCCGGAATCGAAGCCGTGACGCTCAGGTAAACTGCGGTGTGCCGTCAAAGTTTTATCCCCATGGTGGACAGCAGCGGAGGCTGCAGACGCATAAAAAGAGGAAGTTTATAAAAAACACTAGTGCCACAAAAGAAGTATAGGTGAATAACAGATTGTACTTGAGGCCACGTTTCATTGCACTGAACTGTCACATGGCTCAGCTACTGTGTTTATGGCAATGGCTGTTTTTAACTCAGCATTACTCGCTAATTAGTATGCAATAGGTGGTCTGATTAAGCTCTTTCATGTGAGACTTTGCGTGCAACTCAATGTATTACACAAAGACACCTTTATTGGCGTGAAACCCTCAGCTTACGCTTTCACTACCTGATGTGCATTTGAAATTCATGTTCACACCACGTGCTGGAATGCTGCAGTTCACTGGTTGAAGAACAGCACACAAAAAACACATTGAGGACGTGCACAAAATCATGCACATTTCTGAAACAAGCGAAATCAGTGAATCGAGTATCTTAGAAAAACACGCTTTCACGAAGCAAAGTTTCACAAAAACTTGTCTTAATGGACTCACTTAAAGAATAAAGAACATCGAGATATGTGAGAACTCTACTTTTTGCATCGGTTTAGTGGCGATGGGCCAGGGACGTCATGTCGGTTGTCAATGTGAGATGCGATATAGTGCCTAGAATATATCTAGGCGCTATAGTTGAGATAAATCGGTACTCTTAGCATTTTTTTCTTATAGGGGTATTGAAAAAAGACGTATTTGCACCAATGGCTGGGCAAATTCTACGTTGATTAGCAAAGAATATTGGTTACCTTTTGTCGATTCAGCGCGATGTCATCTTATGTCTGAGGTTTGGCGGTGGTTTTTATTTCACAAAACCCAAGGCGTAGAAAGTGAAAGGAATCGCAGCATTAAATGTTTTTTTTTTTGCTGAGGCTCTCTTTTGGCGTTTCACTACACGCGCCTTTTCATTCTGTTTTAATACTTTTCTTATCCAGTGTGCCTTCAATAGACCCGGTCATATCAGCTGGAAATTACTGTTTAAGAAACTTTATTTTTTAACTTTTTTTCTTTGTACTGGGTGTGCTTGCTACTGCTATGGCGATGGCATAAGAGAAACTATTCGGGAGGTCAGTGCTTTTTTTCCTGCTTTTTACGACTTAGCGTGATAATAATGCAGTTATGATACTCAAAGAACGCACCGATTTAAAGAAATGTTATGGTTAGAATTGGCCAATCATTGGTACACTAGGTAGTGAGGAGAGAAGAACGCTAGCTACGTCTAAAAATGACGCAATATGGCGTCATTACAAAATCTACCGGAACAAAATGGCCAAAGCAGGGCATGGTTACTGGTGGCAACAATGGTGAGCCATTTCGTCACAACGATGAGCCTCAGGGCCTCAAGGGAAGTAGACGTATTCAAATAAGGCAGTAAGTCGAGATGAAGTAACGCAAAAACAAATTTCATGGAGATAAAATTAAACCAGCTCGCAGAAGAGTGAACTAGAAATTATTGAGAGAGACCTTCGTCTCTCAATATGTCTAACTTAACTGGAAATTATGATTGCTCGAGGTGGCTTATCGCTGTGATTATTATTGAGAAAATTCATTCTGGCTGCTGCCGTCCCAAGTTTTAGGCAAACGTGAAGTTGCTTTGCCCAGCCCAATTCAGACAGCTGAGTGTTATCCTTCTATGCCTCTTGTTATGACGTTACGCTAAGAGTATAAGTAAAACCAGGTTAGAGAAAAACACAATGCACTTTCTTTTATGTCGATAGAGAGTGTGTAATTAAGAGGTCTCGTGCTGCGTTGCGCAGGAGGTTTGGCTGCAGCCCGTTGCAGTTGCTGAGACCCGCCTTAGCCGCTAGCCTGGCGCTGTGGCTGCTTTTGCTTCTCGCCGCCAGTGAACAGTGCCACGCTGACGAGGCGCCCTTGGGCTCTTCAGTCGGGGCGGCGGCATCCTACCCCTTCAGCAGCACCACCCGAGCGACAAACGCGCCGGCCCGGCTCCACTCTACAGTTTCGGCCTCGGCAAGCGATCCCCCTTGCTGCTGATGGCCGACGAGCCGCCGGTAGACGCGGATGTCGACGAGGACGAGGAAGACGATGCGATGGCCGAGGCTGCGGCTGCGTCCAGGACCGGCGGTTATCTGGAGAAGCGCGGTCCCCGCGAACCCCTGCGCTACGGGTTCGGCCTGGGAAAGCGCAGGAGCGGCCACGAACGCGAGTACGTGCCCTACGACCAGGAAAAGCGTGAGCGGCACCGCTTTAGCTTTGGGCTCGGCAAGCGGGACAAGAAGTCCAAGTTGGAAGACTTCATGAAGCGCAGGTACAACTTCGGCCTGGGCAAGCGCGGCATCTACGGAGACGCCGACGCGGGCGAGCGTTGGAAGAGGAGCTTTTAAAGCGAATGGTGCACTCATGCCAGCACCACACGTCCCGCTTCCCCTACCCACTAACACTCGTCGTCTGCCTACGTTCTCCTCAGGCCACGAGGAGAGAAAATTGTGAATCAATCACTCGGAGTAAAGAACAGGCAGACCACGTGATATGCCTTGTAAATCTACCCCCATTCATCCCTGGAACAAAATCTCTACAGCCCCGCTATATCCTCCGCTCCTCAATGCTCCTCCTCCCGTTCGCAAACCGTGCGTCGGCCAGCGGGCCTTCTTAGGCCTGCTTAAGCGTAACTGGTAAGACTAACTGGCAAGCCTAAACATGTTGCCTGCTGAGAGGGCGTTCTTAAAAATATAATAAAAAAGGAATGGTAGAGAGGAATATTAACAATGCTAAGTACTTAAGAATTCAGCGTAGGCTCGATCATGTTCACCGAGCTTCGTCAGGCCCAGTGAACCTGCGCAAAGATCTTCCCGCCTTCTTGTTCTCGCTTTGAGTTGCAGCTCTTGTGGGTCGTGGACTTTTCTTGCTTGAAGTCAGTCAGTTTCTTTGGCAGGCAAGCAGTTTTTCCGGCGAAATTGTGAAAACGTCGCGTACGAAGCGATATCGTATGTGACATAGTCACATGTCCTCGTCGCTATGTACCAATGTACGGCTCACAGCTCGAAAGGCTGTGGAGGATGTTGTCCAATAGGCTAATCAATAAACCCTGACATCGAGGTTGCGAAAACATAAGAAAATAAGCTTGTGAAAGTCATTGTATGTGTGTGTGTTCAGTGTGGAATAAAACAAGCTCAAAGCGATATCATTTTTGGTAAGAACCTTGTACAGAATGCGGCTTTCTTAGCTGCGGAAGCTCATCATACCACGATAGGAGCGTTGAGTAACAGAAAATAAAACTATACAATATTATTGGTTCTGTTACTCAGTAGTCATAGTTACTATAACCATATAACTACACAAACTTGTGCTGCCTTGGCAAGACAAAACCACATTTCTCTCATTGGGCAAATCACATATGCTATATTGTCTTCTATACAAAGGTAGGCGACCATACGATTCACGCAGGCATCACTGAAGGATACTACAACATATTTTTGTGAAACAATTCAGTCTGTGTAGTTAGATGAAAGAGATGTAGTAGTAGGGCTGCAACACCACGTATTTGCATAATCCACCCGAATATTTAGGTCTTAGCAATACAGATTAAATTGATAATGCTCCTGAAAATTTCCGAGCGCCTGTGTTGACGGTGCTCACGGGAAAATATTGCCAGAAGCATGTGTCCTAATAATCATAGTTACAGTAGAAATCTTCTACAAATAACCACTCATAGGAATGTCTATGCCTAATATATATCAGATTGCGATAGCTTGCTCAAAATGCCGCAGGCTCCTGTACTTCAAATAAATTGGTCAGAAAGACTACAAGACCATGCAGGATTGAACTACCAAAACCATGCGATAAGATTTATTTGATATATATATGTGGTGATTAACGTCCGAAAATCGACATATGATTATCAGAGACGCCATAGTGGAGGTCTCCGGAAATAGAAATTTTGACCACCTGGGGTTCTTTAATGGGCACTTAAATCTGAGCATACGGACCTACAGCATTTTCAACTGCGTTGAAAACACAGACAATGCTATAGGAGCACATACATAATGTCCAAGAGAAATATATTATGGTCGAGAAAGGTTTCAGTGCGTATGTAATGGCGTAGATAATCAGTGGCCAGTTTTCTCACAATGACCATGGCACCTATCAGTACACTTACTGAAAATGTAACTTGAAACGATCTCGCACAAAAAATTCCTCATCTTAGGTCAAACCAATTGATCATTAGGTATATATTAAACAAATGTATCACTAATGAATCATTACATAATGATATGATGCAACATAAACAGTGTTTTGGCATGACCGCACTACTTCCATTCATTCCTTTAGGAGTCGATTTTTGGTGCTTTGGTGCTTTGATCCAAGAAGCAAACCTATTGTAGTGGTTCAGTGGTAAGTTTGAACATAGGCATAAGAGACGTTTCGTACCTCAAGAGCCTGTATGAGGTGATTCGTTTGAATGTAAATAAACGTTTGCGGCCAGTCAAAATAAATGTATGGCTTTAAATCAGCGTGACGTCATTCTATGTATGGCATTAGGCTTGGCTCTACTACGATGCTCTACTGTTTGGACTGAAAATGGCATCAAGTAGCGATCGATCTTATCATGAGAAATAATCATGTACTTTTTTTTCTTTGTGGCAATTTTTAGGTGCCGTGCAATCCAGGCCTCATGAGAAAACAATAAAAATACGTGGTTATCCGGTGTACAGTCAAACTCAGTGTGATGTCTCAGAATGGTTGTAGGACAAATTTGAAAAAACTGTCTTCGGGAAAATTTAATCATTCTTGAAGAAAGACACAGGCTCAAAGTCACAGCACCCTGGCATTCTCATTTCTTCCAAAACGCCATCAGGTAACTTTAAAAGAATAATTAGATATACCTACAGACTGAGTGTGTTGCTGCTAAGCTGGACATGTGAGCACTGATGCTCAAGTGACCATACATAATACATACATACAATACATACATACATACATACATACATACTACATACATACGTACGTACGTACGTACGTACATACATACATACATACATACATACATACATACATACATACATACATACATACATACATACACACACACACACACGCACATACATACATACATACATACATACATACATACATACATACATACATACATACATACATACATACATACATACATACATACATACATACATACATACATACATACATACATACATACATACATACATACATACATACATACATACATACATACATACATACATACATACATACATACATACATACATACATACATACATACATACATACATACATACATACATACATACATACATACATACATGAAGTGAAAAAAGTCACAGCTTTGCCGCAAAGCCGAAGCAATGAACGCGATAGCAACAGATTCAAATTCGCAGGTCACGCACAGAATGGCAAGCAGAGCGAAACGGTCCCCACATTTCTCACGCACAGATGCCGCACGAAACGTACTCACTGGTACAGATGAACGTGAATAAGCGTCTCAGTTGTTACTTCGCTGTGTCTGAAAAGCACGGCCTTGTCGCAAACGGAGGCTGTGCAACAATTTCAGTGACCTTTGTGTGCCCGGTAACTACAACAGACTCGTTCCGACGAAACCCAAAGGCTAGCCAAGACGTACGGTTTTCCCCACTGCAAGATAAGGGCACGCGATCGAGCGTACACAACCTTATTCTCTACGCGGGCCAAAGTACACGTGAGAGATGAGAGCCTACTCGTGATCACTGTGCCATCTTGCTCATAATGCTGAAAACACAATAGCCCCCCCCCCCTCCAGAGATGCCCGCCAACAAGAGTAAGTTGTATATACGAATAGCTTACCGTTTGAACGCTGAAGGAGGTACCTCTTGGTGGCTCAGTGGTTAACGCCTCGCATTCACGACGCGAGAGTACTACGTTCGGTTCCGCGCGCTGGAGTCTTTTTTCTGGGATTCGTTTCCTTCTTGTGTTTTCATATATATAGACACGTATACACATGTGGTGCATAAAATCGACGTCCACGTTGACGTCAGTGGTGAAAACCAGCCGGTGGTGTCCATATAATTGCTATTGAAACTAAAAGATGTGATTTGCTAAAAAAGTTTGTTCTGCCTGCACGCAGTAATGTCCTACAGGCAGAACACGCTTCACAGGCAGAAACCAGAAGGTTGGTTGAGTTTATTGCCTTTAAAAGAGCCCCTAAACCACCCAAAGACTGAAATGTAGATGTGGCGTCACCGTTGTCTGCGGGGAACGCTCGTGGAGTTCCACGTGTTTCTTAGTTTTGATATTTTCTTCGCTAGGCGGCGTTGGTCCGCTTGTTTGACCGCCTCTCCTGCTACCTTTCCTCAGTGTCCGAGGTGAAAACGCAATAAACGCGTTCCGTTGCTAGCAGAAAACAGGCTTTCTTTCACCCAACAACAGAGTCTCTCATAGACAGCGTCAGTTTACGTTATGTCAGCATGAAAAGACATGGAGAGCAGCACGTGAGCGTCCATCGGTAATTTAGGGGGGCCTTTATACGCCACTATATAGTCACTTAACCTTCATTGCAATGAACTCCTGGGCATCGAGCGTGCGACGTCATTCTTAGGAACGAGATAAGACTGAGAAAACTGGCATGCATTCGTATCCACCGAAGTATCTGATTGTACACTGACAACATAAATTTGTAAAATAATTTTGAACATCCATACATACATACGTACGTACGTATATACATACATACATACATACATACATACATACATACATACATACATACATACATACATACATACATACATACATACATACATACATACATACATACATACATACATACATACATACATACATACATACATACATACATACATACATACATACATACATACATACATACATACATACATACATACATACTACATACATACATACATACAGCGCGGCTATAACAAATGGGAAGTAAAAGCTCAAGAGGAGTCTGCTGCTGCAAGGAGCCACCTTATTTTCGATACGTTCCTATCCGTGCGTATGAACGACGTCACAACAAACGGTAAGTTATGCACTTTGCCCAAAGCTATCTCGCAACGATAAAATAAAGGTCTACGTTACAGGAGCTAATCAGCTCAAATTGCGTTTTCGTTCTGGGCTCTGCATAAAGAGAGCGCACACTGAAAGTGTCTCCATCTCGTTACTTCTCGTGACGTGGCTCACGATAAGATGACAGCTGACGAAGTACGTGAACGCTGTCCTCGATTTCAAATGAGCTGTCACAGTAAACCAGGACAACGAACTAATCCTGGCTACGTAATAAGTGATTCTAGGTCAGTAAACCTGACGAAAATGACAGACAGAAGTTGTTCAGTGTTAATGTACAGAGAAGCACTCGTTACGAAACATCTGTGACTTTTTGTCAGATGCACTGAGCGCAAGGCACAATTATGTAATGAACACACAAGCTGGAACTCCCGCAACTGCACCTGAGACACATGGCAGCGTCTGACATGCAGATGACTCCATTTGTTTAAGGGCAATTTCAATCTTTCTATACAAATACTTTCGGTATATCTATATGATTAAGAAAGACGGCCGGAGACATGTGCCCATGTTCGTCATTCAAATCATTTCTCTCATTTAAGAAGATTCAAGGTGCATACGCTGGACACATATTAGGGGAAAATATACGGCCTTTCAAACTATTCTTCAATACGGACCTTCCTGAAACACTAATACACACTGACGTTAGACAGAGCAGCTACTCCAAGGCAAAGTATGTTCCTCGTGAAAGGGCTGCCAGCTCTTCAACTTTCTCATGAAGGATTAGCCACAAAATGTCACCTACATTGCGTAGACGCACCACGCTGCCAAATGCGTTTTTGGCGTGTAATAAAGGTGGAATACTTTTTTCTGCTTGAAGACGACTATACAGTCAAGGGGACAGGTAATTGCCACAAATGTAAGTGGTTTTCTTTTTAAGTTTGTTGTTGTCTACGCGTCTGCTCCTACTTGAGCTGTGTACTTAGCCGTTCAGGATGAGTGTTGAAAGACGACCTTAGGTCCAAAAAAAAAAAAACGTACGCAGGCAGTGCCTTTGCCTTGTACGCAAAGACTCTTCCGGCAGATGATAGAAGTGGAGTCTTATTTGTGGTTGCCGGATATTCTTAAGAATAATAGGCAGCGCAA